AAAAAAGAATAATCTAAATAATTAAAACCTCTCCTAAATTCTAAAGAAAAGTTTAAATTTTACTAATCCCCAATTTTCTGATATTATTTATAACAATCTTATTGACATCTAAAAATATTATACTCTTAAGTATTTTATTCAATATAGGACTTCTGATAACAAATTCTCTAAACAAATTCAGAAAAGCAGTATCCACTGGTGTTTTGGAATGTGTAAGATTATTATTAATCAATTAAACAAATAATTTTTGATAATATGTCTAGTATATAATCAAACAGATTACAGGATGAAACTGTATATATATCAAATAAACATCAAAATAATGTGAAGTTATCTTTTGAATCAACTTGTAGACATTCAGCAGAAAAAGTCACATGTAGAAATGTCATCTGTATAATAAACAAGCATGTCAATTCTCCCCCACCAAAATCATGCGATAGGCAGCAGAATATTGATGCTAATTGGTATATGTTTTTCTTTTAGAAGTGAAAATTCTAACCTTTCACTTGACAGATGTTTGGGTAAAATGCCATGTAACATTTTGAAAGCTTATCTGTGCTCTTTACAGTTGTGTTTCTGCTGCCACACATTCGGGAGCAAACAAAGGAAAAAGTAAACAAGAGTAAAAATATGGCTGCATTAGCTATTTACAGATAAACATATAAATCATAAGCAGGTTAATCTCAAATATGTAAAAATGTGTAACTGATTAATCAAATAAAATATCAACGTAGAAAGCATATTTCAAAATATTTGGAACATTTAAGAATAAACAGCATATAGGATTGTTAAGAGAGTTGTAATTTTAAATAGATATGAAAATTATATCACTTATGAACACAAATTTCTAATTCTCAAATGCTCATTATGTTCCTTTCTGTCATAATTTAGCTACAAATGACTACCAATGCAATAATTATAGTGACGACTGTTTTTTAGAGTTAGTGAAAATTTTTTCAAATATAATCTGGTTCCCACGAATGTGGGTAGAAGGAATATCAGATATTTTATTAAAATTTTTGAGATGAGAAAATTTAGCCTCTGTGAAGTTAGCTGACTTGCCTACTAACTAGACTAAATGAAAACCAAGGTACTCCAATAACATTTCCAACCTTATTAATGAACTGTCCACCCCCTCCCCACCTCAACAGTTATTAGAAACATTTAGGCACAATTAAGACTGCCAATAATTCTGTGTGTTTTATTATGTATTATTATTATGAATGTATTGTTAAATGAACTTACTAATGTTTCTATTGAAAACGTTGGCCGTGTGGCTCAGGCTGTAATCCCAGAAATTTGGGAGGCCAAGGCAGCCAGATCACAAGATCAGGAGATCTAGATGATCCTGGCTAATACGGTGAAACCTCGTCTCTACTAAAAATACAAAAAAATTAGCCAGCCATGGTGGTGTGCACCTGTAGTCCCAGCTACTCGGGAGGCTGAGGCAGGAGAATCACTTGAACCCAGGAGGCAGAGGTTGTGGTGAGCCAAGATCGCGCCATTGCACTCCAGCCTGGGCAACGAGGGCCAAACGTCATCTCAAAAAAAAAAAAAAAAAAAAAAAAAAAAAAAAAAAAAAAAAAAAAAAAAAAAAAAAAAAAGAAAGAAAGAAAGAAAAGAAAAAAGAAAATGTTTACTAAGTCCACATAAATCAATGAGTCGTAGACATCTTTTAAAAAATTTATTATTATTATTATTTTTAACAGAGATGAGGTCTTGCTGTGTTGCCCAGGCTGATCTGGATCTCTTGAGCTTAGGTGATCCTCCCAAAGCATTGAGATTACAGGCATGAGTCACTGCTCCTGGCCTTGTGTCATAGTGTCATAGATATCTTAAGCACATCAAGATAAAAGATAAATATATTTGATTGAAAAGAAACACAGAGAACTGTGTTACAGTAAATTAATTCATACTTTCATAAACAATAGTTTATCAGTGTAGCACTAATGTAATTGATCCACTAAAAAAACTCATCAGATATTGGACCTTATATACACAGTAATATTAAAATATAACAATTTAGTATTCCTAATCTATGGAGTTAAGTAACAGAAATAAAAGCAGAAAGTAGTAATAAGTATTTTTTTCCTTTGTAATGTTAAGTTACAGCATAGCATATCAATAGGTTCTTATTTCATTTACCTATAAACTTATTTCTCCTTTCATTAGCTGGTGTCTCGGCAACGCATTAAAATAAAAAGATTGTTAGTCATGCACCTATACCTAGATTGCTGTTATTCTACATAGGGGATAAATCATTTACTACAACTGTTATAATGGAAATCAAGAGAAAGTAGTATAATCAGTTGTTTGCTGTGGAACTCTCGGGTTTTGGAAAACAGATTTCTGTGAAAGAAAAGATTTGCCTGGTGACAAGAACAAAAGCAAACATGGAAATTGATATTGCTTATATGAGAGGCAGTGAAGTATAAGATACTAAATGTATTGGTGAGGGAAAATTGTACTACCTATTTTTATATTTTCTTTAATGTAAATTAATATGCGTTCATAAAAAAAATTTATAAAATACAAGATGTTAAGAAGTCACCCACCATTCTACCACTCGGACATTAATACTTACAGTACGTCTTTATAAATGCTTCATGTTTTCCTCACCACTTATATTTCAACATACAAATGTGTACACACATGTTTTAAGAATGTTTTAATATTATATACTGTACTCTGTTCCTATTTTGTTTTAGTATAAATTTTAACTGTTTCCATTTTATTAATTTTTATATTAACATTTTGGTAGAATGCTGTCATACAAGTTGCATAATTTATTTATTCAATTATTTTGTGGTTAGTCAGAATGCTACATTATATGGGAAAAAAGTACTTTGCAGTTTTAACTAAGGTTGCAGGCTGATTCAGGGAAATTGTCCTGAGTTATCTGACTGGACCCAACCTAATAACATAAGCCCTTAAAAGCAGAGAATTTTCTTCTGCTGGAGGCCAAAGAAATAACACAGGAGGAGAAGTCAGACAGATTTAAAGCTTGAGAAGGATCAGGCTTTGCTGGTTTGAATATGGAAGGGCAACATGGTAAAGAATGCAGACTGCTGAGCGAGTCTCTTATCTAAGAACCTGCAAGGAAATGTGGACCTCCCTCCCACAGTGACACACCGAATTTATACAAATTTGGACCTTGGATGAAGCACCTTCCTTGTCTGCCTCATTCACTATTAAAATTCCATGCCCTAAAATTTACGTCTCATTTGTCAAGTCAATAAATAAATTATATTCTTTTTTTTTTGAGATTGTTCTTTGATATCACTTGCTGAAGATTTTTTTTCTTTTCCTTGAGGAAAAGAAAATTCCACTTTTCTTATTGATTTGTGGGAGCTCAAATTTCTATACAGGTATTACATACTTAGTATTTGTTAGGATGAGAAATTCAGAAGACAAATCTGTCTTATAGAAGAAGAAAAGGACATGAAAGTGACTTAATGAGAATTAAAATAAATGAAAATTTAAGGAAAATTAAAAGAAAAGTATTTTGTTGCATAAAATGCAATTTATATGCAAAATTGGGTGGTCTCCCAAAGCAGTTCTGGAAAGCATAAATTGTGGTTGCCCCTTAACGGAAATTTTTTTCATTATCCTTGAATTTCAGTTGTCGGGGGAATATGTCTATGTTGGTTTTTACATTTTGCTGGTAGCCGATGAGCTGGTCTAATTTATGAACCTAGGCCTTTTCAATCTTTTTTCCTCATGTTTATGGTTACAGATTTTCCCCACTTTTCCCATTTTATTTTGTTTTCTTCTTTTAAACTTTCTGTTATTTGTTACTATATTCTGGTAATGGATAGCCTATACTTGTCATTATATTTATTTTCCTCTGATTTTAGTTATCTCTTCATCCATCCCATTGTTCTAAGTTGTAGAAAAATATCTGAACTCTCCCATGCATTTCTCTAAGTTTTCTGCAATATTCTTTCTTCTACTGACTGCACTTACTGTAGTTTTGCATTTCACAGTCATGCTATTTTGAATTTCATCACTTTTTCTTCATGGTCACCTATTCAAGTTTCATAGATTCACTTTTTCCAAAAATCTTTCGAGACCATTGTTATATCGAGCGAATTAGAAGGAAAGTGCCACACTCTGAGTTCCAAATTAAGAGTCCTTATTTGCCAGCGACTGAGAGATGGCTAAGGCTCAAAACTCTCTCGGCCCCAAGGAAGGGGCTTGATTCCTTTTTATACCTTGATTTAGGTAGGGGAGGGGGAGCCTAGCTGAAGCGGAATTTTATAGAGGCAGAATGAGCAGGTTAGCGGGATGTGGTTGCAGGCCAGGGTATTTTCCAAACAATCACCAAGGGAGTTCCAAGGAGCAGGTGTGCTTGCCAAGCAGGATGTAGTTACAACGGTTATATGGTAGGATAAGCACAGGGTCAGCGTGACATAAGAACAACGTCAGTGTGGCCCAGTTATGCACCCGAGGGAGACATGGCAGGGAGGGAAAGGCAAAAATGGAGTTTACAACTAAGACGGAGTCAGTTAAGCCGGCACAAGCTAGGTTATTACACCATGATGTAGAATTTTTACAAAGACTTTCTTCTGTTTCTGCATTAATCCCACTTTGTAAGAGAAGGTATACTTTGATTCCTCAATGCGGTCCTGAAACTCTAGCTTATAGTACTATTTTTCATGATGATACACTTAACCTTGCTTATCTTCACAGAGGGAAATCCTTGAGGGTTAGGATAGGTTCCCTGAGAGCCTGCAGATTTTTATCAAATCCAGACAAAAGTGAGGGCTGAAACTTCTGATTCAATTTTTATAGCTACTGATAAAATAAAATTTGCAACCACTACATTCCACAACCTACTCTTTGTGCATCTACTCTTCATGGACATATTTACATTATTTCAGGATCTCTTCCTCTTACTCCCACGGAAGTGACTCTGGGGAGCTAAGACTTGTGAAATGTCCTTCAATCTAGTTCCATCTCACCTGTATCTATAAAGCACTCTTAGTTAATCAGATATGTCACTGTTGCTCTTTCTAGAATCATGCACAATTTTCTTTGTATTTTTTTCCTCATATTTTTAACAACAGTTTAGCAAGATTTGAGGCAAAGGAGGAATACATGACAACTGCACATGTCACTAATTCAATTTAAAACTAGGACAAATCTTTAAACTGTGTTTAATCTTAGGTAGTTCTGAGGTGTTAAGTTTCTTCTAATCTGGAGTCCAGGGATCATAAGCAATTTCGTAGCTTGCTTCTTCATGAATACCTTTTTAAAAGCATGTCATATTTTAAATGTAATGCTTTTATATACAAACATATTGGAAATGTATTTAGAATTCAAATGCATTCAGCAGATTCTTGGAAGGGTGCATGACTTAAGAAGCTAGTTACCACTTTTAGAATATTGTTAATTTATATTTGTTGAAATGGCTGAGCCATAAAATAAACTTTTAAATCTTCACCATTTTTATGCCCTTCTCTGACTGCTCTTGCCTGTTCACATCAGTAGTGCCCTTTACCTCTAACTAAACGGAATTATACCATCCATCTTTCACCAGTCAGCGTGAGAAAGATCTCTACATCTCAATGGATTTGCTGCTGCTAAGCCTGAATAGTAAAGTAAAAAGGTTGCACCCTGGACCATCTTTTCATTCTTTCCTGGTTGTGAGATGCACTTGAACCACAATAGTTATAAGCTTCCCATTGTAAATGAAGTTTCTGGTCATAAGTACAGGAAGCTATTTGTATAAATAGATTTTTCAATTATTAAAATATGAGCATATTGTGTAATGCATTACACAAACTCATTTCACCTTTCTTAAAATTTTAATATTAGCAGACCAAAGCTAATTTCTGATAATTTTTCCAAACAGAGCTTCTTCAATGTTTGCAAACAGTGAGTATGCTAGTCAACTTTATACAATTCCTACAAGCATTTATGAAATGAATTTATAGATCACCAACAAAATTATTGGAAAGAGGTTTTGTGGCATTCAGCATATTCTTGAATGGATCTTTGTAACAAAGGAGTTTAAGTAGCAGTATTCCTTATTGATATACTTTCAAAATATTGTTAATTTATATTTGTGTAAATGGCTGAGCAGTACAATAAATTTTAAATTCATCTATTTTTGTGCCTTTCTTTGGGTCTTATTCCCCGAGCATATTATTCAAAGAGGGGAAAATGGATCACCCTGACTCATATAATTATTATAACCAATATGTTTCTGAATTTAATCTATATTTTTCTGAGAAAACTTGGCCAATATTTAAATAAGCACTCCAGAATCTAAATTCCTTTTTTCTAATA